AAGTCATAACAATGCTTAGGGTCCCACTTCATCTGCTCCCAGTGCTAGTATGCACATGTCCAAATTTATGCAAGGAAAAAAGACTGGAAAGAGATATTTCTTGATAATGTAGTGCATTTTTCTGTCTATTTGAATATGAGTATGGACTAACTGGAGGGCACTAAAAATCTAGAGATAGGTGATGGGCCATGAGGATGGCTAGAGAAAGTAAGTCATTGCCTCTGTGGTAGTTTGGCCTAGGCCTTCCTTGGTGACCAGTTTGTAACCAAGGAAGGGTCCAGATTTACCCAGTATTCCAGACGATTTTTACGTACGCTGGGCTATAAGAAGAAAGGAGGAGAGGCCTTTGCTCTCTTTCCTTCCGGCGGCTTGGAGGTGCAGGTTCCCTGCTGTTGAGTCTGCCGTGTTGGGGAGTGAGGCCTGGTAAGGCCTTGCTGACCTTGGGAGATGGAGGTTGCCGGCGATCGTTCCGGAGCGACTCTCGGTTGTCCCAAGGAGAGTAGTGAGATATCTCTTTGCTAACTCTTTTAGTTGTTAGATATTGGGCTACTAATCGGGATATATATATATATTTTATTTTGCTTTTGTTCCTTTTCCCTTCCCCCTTCCCGTTCCCTTGTGAAATTGTATATACATTTCAATTGTATATACCTGTAACATAAGTGTAAATATATATATATATATATATATATATTGCTTTTGCTGTCTCTCTCTCGTTTCGGTTTTTCTTGGTTGTTTTCCTCCCTCTTCTCCCTGAGGTTTAGGGCGGGGGGACACACGACACTTCTCGTGGTAAGGTTTGGAGACTTGGCAGGGAGCCAGCTTCAAACCATATCAGCCTCCCTGGTATAAAACCATTGTCTTCACTTGGCCTAACCCCATAAGATGTAAACTGGATCTACAACTAAGAAACCATTTAAAATAGACAACTTATAGGGAAAAAAATGAAAGACAAAGACCCAAACCCCTGGGAAACCAGTAAGGCATTCAGGCAATACTGAACTTGTTGAGTAGAGCACAGTATTCCCTGTTACAAAATGGATGTCTATGAACCCCATGGGATGGGGTCAGGAATATCTGAGTAAGGGGTTTCTGGGTATTTCTTCAGGGATAGATTTTGTCTGACTCCATCCCATGAAGTGTATGGACATCTAACTTCTTGAAAAATAATAAACAAGGTGGAGGGAGCAGGCTGCAATTCTGAGGATCTGAGGGGATTAATTCAGGACTGCAGATAGGTGCTTGAACGCCTGGGGCACCCAAAGCCAGGAATCCTTCAGATGATTCACTTCTTTCAAGGAACAGAGTAAGAGTCACCGTTTTCTTTTGAAGTGGCACCCACTGTTTACTTCCTTGACTTGTGATGAGTACGCCTTAGCAAATCAAGAGACCAGAGCTCCAAACAGCTGCCAGATCCCAGGAAGCTGCAATAAACTGCTAAAGCAGGGGAATAAAAGAGAGACAGGAGCACAAGCCCTTCTGTCAAAACTATGTCCCATTTCAGGGTCGTATGGGAGAGATGCAGGACTTCAGAGAGAAAGGGTCTGAGAAGACAGAAAAAATGTCATGGTTTTGGGTAAGGATGTTTGACAAGGATGAGGGAACACTGTGGCTCCCTCTTGTGAGATTATGACTGTTGTTTATAGGAGTCACAGATATGAGGCAGAAACAGACCTGCAGCAGTGAGAAGAAGGCAGCAGCCTTGACAGCACTTTTTGCTGTCATGTACTTTGCCACAGAAATGTATATTCTGTATCTTTTCAACTGGGTGCCTCAGTGAACTTGGCACCACTCTGGCTAATTCCCCTAATCTGACCTGACTGTGAGGGAAGCCCTATACCTGCTGACCTGGACTGAGAATATCTCAGCAGGCAGCATAAGAGCTCCAGGGAAATGTCTAGGAAAAGTAAGTACTAAATTACTTCTGGACTAGATACATCCAGTCTGTCTGAATTCATTTCTGAATATAGCCCTCAAGGACAAATCTTGTTCCAATTTTAAGAAAAGACAAATCTCCCCTGCACTCCAGTGGGCTGTGGAAGGGATGGTATCTGCTGTTTAACCCTGGCTGAGAAATCAGTTAGGCTATAATTGTGTACTACATTATGAATCTCAGTGTGCTAACACAGGGAGGAGAATTAGCAGGCACAAGGCCGTCATCTTAAAAAGCTACCTACACTGTCCTTGCTACAACCTCATCAACACCAGCCTAGCAGGCTATCCTGGCTTCCCAGGAATCCCCTGTATCTCCTTCTGAAGATCTCCATGGGGCAGACCAGAACCACAACACACCACACAAAGATGGAGACTGCATCTGACCTCTATTTCTTTTTGGACAATGCAAATCTTTCTGCAGCAGGCAATTGCTTTAATAATGCAGGCAGCAACCCGCCAAGTTTCTTGACACCTGGCAGTCAGATGGATTAAGATGTGCCCAAAGCCCCAGGGGCTGGCCAGGGTGGGTGGAGAGCTCACTTGGGTTCAAGACTGGGTCTCTAGCCAGCGCTTGGATCTGCCACAGTGTCTCTGCCAGGAAGATGAAGGTTGTTGCAGAGATAATTTTTAACTTCACATCCATAAAAAGGCCACAGAAGACATGTCCATGTCCTGTGACTCCCTAGTAAGGAGAGCTGGGGCCTTAGAGCTAAGCCTTGCCCAGTGATACAGAGTGCCACATCTAGTGGGAGGAGGTGATCAAAGCCTGACATTCTCAAGGACCAAACATCTCACAGATATTTCGCTGCTTCCATAGTTTTCATAGGAATAAGGTGGAAGAAAGAACAAACTAAATATGACAGGTGTTAATTGCTTTGCACAGGCTTAACTCCACAAAGGTTCCTAGGATTGGTGATACTGACTGTTAGCTGCTCATTTTCAGGTACTCATGGTCTAAAAAGGAGTTGTCACTGTTTCCTTTTGCATAGTATCCATTGCAGGAGGGTCAGGAACTGATTCAATTAATTTTGCAATTCATACCCTTATCTGTGACTTCCAGTGTCAGCTGTGGAAGAAAATAACTGTACAGGCATTCTATTATTCAAAGTGCCACCACAATCTGCAGCTCTTTGTGTCCCTACAAAAACAACCAGGAAAAAAGAACCTATACATACATATATTAGAGGAAGTAACTGTCGGATTAGCAGTAAACTGGAATAGTTGTCACTTTTTGATCTACTTCAGCTGAAATCAGCACTCTAGATAAGATACTACAAAAGTCCACAGTCAGATGTTCCATTTACTGTCCCCACTACTTTTTTTAGCACTCAGTTCTCTAGCCACAAATGCCACACCAATTACATGGCAGTAGATTTCAGAACATTCTGATATCTGTATAAATAACTTCACCCATGAGACTGTCACTGTTCTGATCCTCCGCTATCACAAAATCTACTGCAGCTTATCAAAGGGATTCAAAACTTCTTGCCCGTGCTCGCAAAACTTCCGAAGCGGCTGCACCCACAGCGGTCGGTGCGGGGCCGGAGCGGGGCTGGGGAAGGGCCGGAGCGGGGCCGCTGGTTGATCAGATGCTGCCCCCTGCCTGGCTTCTCGTTTCCCGGCCCCGGCTGAGCAAGGCAAGGGACGCGGCTCGCCGCTTTTGCCGCTCCTGGCATAGAATCATAATACCACAAAATCGCTAAGGTTGGAAAAGACCTGTAAGATCATTGAGTGCAACTACGAACCCAGCACTGTCAGGTCCACTACTAAAACGTGTCCCTAAGCACCACGTCTACGTGTTTTGTGGACACTTCCAGGGATTGTGATTCCACTACTTTCGGGGAAGCCTGTTCCAATGCCTGACCGCCTTTTCAGTGAATATTTTTTTCCTAATATTTAATCTAAATGTTCCCTGGTACAACTTGAGGCTTTTTCCTTTCATCCTACCACTTGTTACCTGGAAGAAGAGACCAACCCCACCTGTTTACATCTCCTTTCAGGTTTCTTCAGACTAAACAACCCCAGTTTCCTCAGCCACTCCATGATCACAACTTTACCCCAAGCTGGCAGGCACGCTACAGGAGGAACTCCAACAATAAGCTAGTGGTGAAAGATGGGAAAAAAATAGTTATTTCCCTGGGAAAATAATAGGCATCAGATAGGCACTTTGAAAAAAAACATTTGTCCAAATTGCTCAGCATCATTTAAAAGGGAGAGGAAGGACCTAAGTCCATGCCACAAGACAGTGGTAACTTCAGATTATCTCAGATCTTTTGGGGTTGCACTACAGTGATTTTTATGATATTTTATTAATTTTTTTAGGGGGGTTATGTGCTATTCTGAATGACAACCAACACTGTAGCATCCTGTGACACTCATTACTGTAGTCTGCTGCTTGTGGGAGAAATTGTATCCAAGTACCTGAACTGTAATTAAGTTCCTTCACTGTTTTGCTCCTTCCAGCTGTAAAAATCAACAATCAAATCTCCCACTGGTTTCCTTCCAAGGGCAGCTCAATTTCCAAAAGGAATGAAGCCTCTTTTTCCAAAAATGTCAGTCAAAGTGAATCTTAACTTCTGTAGAGAGACCTTGGACACTGTGGTGACATGTTCCCCCACACCCATGCTTAGGCCATAACCACCAGTGGGAGTTTTGATGGCTGCATCCAGCTTATTCTGAACTTTGAGCGACAGGTGCCAACATGGTAGCCAAGGGCTGTCCAGAAAGGGGACTTAGACATCTTGCTCCTGTGCAAACGTAAGTGAATCATCTTACTTCATAAATAGTGGCAGCCTTCAGATCATGTTTGTGACACTCCTCTGGACCTGCTCCAAACTCCAACAGGTCCATGTCTTTCTTGTGCTAGGAACCCCAGATCTGGATGCAGCACTTCAGGAGAGGTCTCACCAGCACGGAGTAGAGGGATGGAATCACCTCCCTCAACCTGCTGGCCATACCTATTTTGGTGCAGCCCAGGACCCATTTGGCTTTCTGGGCTGTGAATTCACACTGCTGATTCATGTCCAGCCTCTCATCCCCAATTCACTAAAATGTGAATTAATAAAATACAAGACTTCAGAAAATGCAAAAAACAGTGTCAACAAACTGGGATAGGTAAGTTCTTGTATTACCCTTTAACATTTTAATGTTACTGTTAAACTGCTGGAAACAAATGGCTCTTCAAATAAAGCATAAGAAAATATTCCTACTTGTTGAATAATGAGGGAATCCTCACTAACAGCATCTGCAGAACATCTGCTTCAGCGACAATTAACAATGTCAAGGTGTCACACTGGTGAACTGACTTTTACTCAGGGCTTGAAGCAATCTGTGGCACGCTAAGGAAGGCTAACAGTAGCTTCAGGGGACAGATATGTGCCGCAATATAATATCCATTTCAAATGTATAGTTGAGAACGGAAGAAAAAATTCTTGAGAGGAAAAAAATCCTTTAGGAGTGATAATTTAAAATAATTAAGCCTGTATTGGTGCCCACCAGGGGATTCTTGAGCATATCAGTGTACCAAGCAAATGGTTTTTTAGGGTTATAAAAATAGCCTATTTGAAACAAATTTTCTATTTCAAAGCTTGAAATTTTCATTTTGGCATACCTTTCACCCTTCTACCACTTTTACTTTTTGTTGTAGCTTATGGTATTCTTTTGTTCTTTTTTTTTTTTATTTTGCTTCACTCTATTTTTTTTTCTCTTGGAACTTTTTTCACTATAGAAAAATAAAACACTTCTGGAGGTTGACACCCATCCATCCTACTTGCTGCACTTATTAGGATTTCTGTAATAAAAATGAAAAATTAATTTAGATTTTATTTTAAACTTGTCATGTGCCTAGAAGGATGGAAGAACTAATGGAAGCTATCATTGCTGCCAGCCCCAGTGAGACCTGCTGTGTGCCTAAGCTGCCAGGAGGTAGAAAATGAGAGCAAAACTAAGGCCTCACCTATAAAGACACAAGCTTTGGTCTTTGTGTCTTTGCAAAATGGCAATATTTACATTCAACACTGAGTAACAAGGTTTCCAATAATTCCCTCCAGAAAACAAAGAGTCCAGCTTTTAAAGAGCATTTGTTCGTTTAAGTAATGAGAGCGAAGGCCAAATAATGGAAGTAGGGACTTGAAAAGGACATGGCTGCTCAATGTGTGCCATGTGAGGAAAAACTCTGGACACAAAATACTGTATTTGCTGCTCTGTGGAATGGAAATATTTGAAAATTCCAGTTTAAACTGAGGAAAATGCCTGGAGACAAAACCCCAACTATTTTAACACTCTTTGATGTCAGCTAAAAAGCAAAGGCCAAGCAGTATCAAACCATAAAGCTGAGCTAAATCTGCAGAGAAGTGTTCTTGACTCATGAGTCATTTGGCTTGTGCCAGCCAGAGCATATCCACACTCGGGCTTGCAAGCTGGGTAAGCTTTCCCAGATAGCCCTACTAGTAGCTGGGCCAAACATTCTGACAGATGTAAGAAATAACAAGCAGAAACGCTCTTCAGATGGTGCTTTCCAGCTGTCACATAGAGTAAACTCAAATATCACACACTCTTCTTAAAAATTCAAAGCAGAATGGGAATGCTACAGTACAGCTCCCCCACGACTTCAGTAGGCTGGCCCGTTCCTTCCAGGAGCCAAGAACCTGGAGGGCAGCACACGGGGCATCATGCAAACACAGTTTTTGTTTCAGAAAATGATAATGTGTGTTTCATTGCCATAGAGAGGCCAAGTTAAGGTATGTTCAGAAGGTACACAGATATGGTACCAAAACAAAGTGCTTCCTACGTGGCTGTGTCTCTCTGGCCTTACATTTAGTCCCTATCAGTAAATTGAACAAATTATTAGGATTTCTTACAGGTGAACTGGAGGAGGTACCCTCAAGGAGTACTGATTTTTGCTGACCATATTTAGCAACATAATAATTTTTAGATAGTTCAAGTGAGAAGTCCACTTAGTGCAAAACACCAGGATAATCATCAGTATCTGATTTACCAGAGGCTCTAACAGTATCTCTGCCCAGTTATAGTCATCTCAATAAATTCCCTTTCTGAAGTCAGCCTCTCTTTCAGGGGAGCAGTTATTTCTTTCTAGGCTGAGATCTGGATTGCAGATGGTGCTATTTGCCTGAGCAGTTCACACAAATTTTAGCACCGACAGTTCTGTTGTGTTTCGGACAATGATAGAATTAATATCTCATAAATGTCAGGATCAAGCTCTCATAAAATATAGGACTAGTTATAGTGAAAAAAAGAAAAAAACACCTTGCCATGGAGTGCCTGTTCATCATCTACATGGTGAGATGGGCAGGCAGATCATAATTTCATGCTTATCCACTCAAATATCAATTTCTCTCCTAAATCAGATATTTTTAGCTCACATATTTTTCAATTTTTATCTTATTAGTTCTTTTCAAGTTGTTCAAGCTAGTATATTCTTCCTCTGAGGAACAATTTGTGCATTGAATTTTAAAAGGTGTATCTCTGTCAGTCTTTTAGGAAAAGAAATTTGCATTAATTACAATACAGTGACAATAGTTTCTGCAGGAAAGACTTGTTTGGATTATTGACTGAGCCAGAAATACAACTGTCAATAAGTCCATACATCATATTTATATATTTACTAAACAATTCCTCTCACATTCCATTATCCTCCATCTTCTATACCATCTCCAAAGCCAACATAATAGTTTTTAGAAAAAGGTACAAGAAACCCATAGTTTGCAGTCAAAAAATAACTTACTGCTAAAACAACTTACTTCCTAGTGTGCTCAAAATAGCTTTTATCTTAAAGGTAGGAAGTAATTCTAAATTCCAAATGCATTTATAAAATCCTGCAACTACTTCAGCTGTTTACGATCTCATTACTTCTGTGACAATCACACAAAGACTGTTTCATTTCTTCTTGACAAGACTATTGTAGACTGATTTTAAGAAAATATTTTGTTTATAATTCTTACTTTCCTTTCATGGCTGTTGAATATTCTTTTTCCATTCTAAAATGAGCAAACAAATTGGCTTATTTTCTTAAGGACCTATATAGAAAAAGCTTCACCTAACTGTATAGGATTTTTTTTTTTCTACAATCAGTAGCATGAATAGTAGATAACGATTTAGTCAGATAACTTAAATGGGTTTTTTAATTATTATTCTCATAGTATATTTCTACTGCTATAACTCTAATCCAGATGGAAAATTACACCAGCACTGTGATCATCATCATGTCTCAAGCATATCCTCAGTTAAATCTCCATGAGAAATTAAACTTACTGGTTTGGTGACTCCTCTGGTTGCTCTGGTGGCACTTCACGACTCAGTAGAGTGACACTACAGGACGAGGAAAGGGACATGAGAAGTCCCTGGACCATGTTCCTTCTGCCAAGCGAGCTCACAGCAGCTGACAAACGTACATACAAATTTGCAGCACGTGGAGGCTGCGGGCCAGACCTGGCACTTGTGACTGCTCACACTTAGACACACAGATGCATGTCTGGTCACAGAAATGTCATTGCTTGTGTCTGTCTACAGTGGAAATGTGACTGAGAGCACATCAAAGGAGGACTGTGGGGTCTATTAGATCTTGTCTATTCACCTGCATATCTCTTTCATTGAGATTTTGTGACAAATCTCTGGTTTATGTGTTTGCTAGACAATAAAGACAATGGATAGAGATACAATTTTGCTTCCCCTTCTCCTTCTATCTTTAAAGTTAAAAGAAAGCAGTACTAAAGTGAAACAAAGTTGAATGACTGATTTTTTTCCCCTCTTTTCCAAGTGAGTATGGATGTTATCCTTGCCATTTGCCAAAGCTTGGAGCCAAAAAAACACCCCCATCAGAGCCAGAACCATCCTCCACTGCTCTTCCTGCCCAGGCAATCTACATGTTAAGTACAAAGGAAGCAGTACTTCCAAAAGGTACCATAAAACCCTCTGTTAATATAAAAGAATGGGAGATTTCTTTTTATATAATTTCTATAAAGAATGTGTCAGTTTCCTTTTGAGAGTGTTTGCCTTTCATAAATACTCAATTTTAAATTAAAAAAAAATCCTAAATGGTTATATTGAGAAAATCATAAGATAGAACATCAAAGATAAACTGCATATAAAAACTATGTATAAATTCTAGTAAGGTAAAAATTTGAATTTTTCCAACTTGAATGGACAGAGTTTCAACTTCAAAAGGATCCTTCATTTCAGCATAACATTCTGCTATGACGCAGTACATTATTTCAGCTTTACTAAAAGAATATTTGACTAAAAATCACCATGAAATTAAACCGTGGGCAGACTGAGTCAGTGCCATTTTGCATTAATTCAGGACACAGGGAAGTGTTTCCTCTCAGGGTTCTTGCCATTGCCAAGCCTGCTGCTCTTGGCAGCAGCATCTCCAGCTAATGTGAAATTAATTTTAAAATAATTTAAGAGTGGTGGGCAAACTTGGTGATATCAGCCATTGCACCTTGCAGCCATTGAGTCAGAGGTTCCTGCTTATTTTCTCGCACGGCAGCTGTGAATAAAGGCCAGCTGGCCTTGGGAGAACATCTCCCTTACCACCACCTTGGCCTGGCTCTTTACAAAAACACCTCCAGAACTCATAACCATCAACCGCCCTTCAGGCTTGCACATGAACCTCTGGTGTGAAGTGTTGGCACATGACTGAAATGCTTTTTGCATAATTATTACCAATGATTTGCCGTGCCTAAACCCAGACAGCTGCCGGGACCGGCCCGCCTCTGCCCAGCCCTGTGCTGCAAGCATCACCCACAAGGAGGAGCCCCATCTACAAATAATTCATGAAAAGACCAGAGTTCTTTCTTAGTGGTACCCAGGCTGAACAGATTAGCAGAGAATCACTGCTTGATAAAAGAATCAGTGTTGGTTTTTTTCAGCTAAACTCCCATCAGGAAGAAGATTCAGCAGCTAGAGGATGTTTGCCTAATTACATTATCTCAACTTTTCCCAATTACATGGAGAACAGATGTTTTGTGACTGAAAACAAACCCAAAGGGAAGGAACATCAAAGACCAACTGCCTACAACAAGAGCCTACAAAATCATTTTTTTTTTCTTAAACTCACTTACTTACAATGCCAAACACGTTTTGCCCAGGCAGGAAGGTGTGATTAAGTGAAACTGCTTCCTTGGGGACTGCAGGATGATGCTGAAAGAAAACAACAAAGGTTAGTAGAACATTTCATACAGTCAAATAAAGTTACTATATGAATGTTCAACTATATCAATGTTACTATATGAATGTTCAAGCCTGAATTTTGAATTTACTGTGCTAATTTTAGTATAACTCACAAAGCTTACTTTAACTTAGCAAAGTCTTTGTGAATAACCTCATTATTATCTTACAGCTATAACAATCTGGAGAAGAGTAGAAAGTGCAAGTGTGCAAAGCACTTGTTCAGTTGTGACTTCTCTTGCTTGGTTTTCAGACATGTTAAGCATTCAGAGAGCCATTTGAGGCCAATATGGTACAGGTGCACTCTCAGCCTGTATGGCCACAGGCTTTGAAAATGCAATCCAAAGTCTGAGGTTTGCAAATTAAGTGACCACATTTCAAAGCTTGATCTTGAGCAACTTGCCTACAATAACCCAGTCATGCCTGGCAGAATAAGGAACAAAATCCATATCTGTCAAAGATCAATAAAATGCTGCCAGATGCTGTGCCACAACCAAGGATTTCTCTCGATTTAACTTGAGCCAGGATTTCATTCAAGAATTCTTTCATATAAGCAGGTTTTAGCTCAATTTTAAGCTAAAAAATTGCACTTTCTTAAAAGGCAGTGCAGTTTTTCCTCTTTATACATTTATTTTATGTACCCAGAATTCACAGTAATGTAAATGGTTTCTCTCTTTATCTGTCTGATTCCTTCTCTGTTTGCTTAAATTGCTGCCTACTTTGCAAAATTACCTGAGCTGTTTATTAGGACTCCAGAAAAAAACTCATGGCAATATATATATATTTTTTTTTTGCATTATCCAGACACAAGTACCTTCAACAGATTGTTTTAATAAAGTTGATGAAATGCTGAATTTCGACATTCTAATGAAACTGCCCTGCTATGATACTGGCTGGGAGGTCAACCAGCACACAAGCAACCTGGGTGTGAAGGAACACGATTCAGGATGGGAACAGTTCCGGGCGTGGAGAGAAGCGTGCAGCAATTGGCGGGACTTTGTCGTGTGGACTTTGCTGTTATTATGTGGTTTCATTGTATTCACACTACACAGTGCACAGCCTGGACAAGCCCAGGCTTGCCATGAGTTTGCCTGCTCCCTGCTTCCCCCACTCCTCCCCCTTTTGCCGGTGTCCCTATCCTGGTTTGTCCCCCTGCTTGTCTGTCTCATGCTCCGCCCTATGTTCTGGCCCGTTCCGCTCCCGAGCGGACAGAAAGAGAGTTTGCATGCCTGGATAAAGGATTCTGCTTGCACCCTTCCTCGTGTCCCGTCCCCCCTTCGGACCGCGGCACCTGGGGGTTACTGGAGCGCATTGATGAGAATTTGCTAATGAAGATGATCACAGAGCCAATGTGGGCAAGCACTCTGTTGGACCCCACACTTACAACCAAGGAAGAACTCTTCAGGGATGCGGAGGTCAAGGGCAGCAGTGGCCATGAAATGGTGGAGGACCCCAAAAAGAGGGAGCAAGGGAAATAACAGGATCAACCCTGGACTTTGGGAGAGCAGACTGTGGCCTCCTAGGGTATCTACTTGGAAAAATCCTGTGCAATGCATCTATAGAGAGAAGAGGGGAAGAGGCGATCATTTAATTTTTGTCTCACCTCCTCCCACTCCAGAATGATCCATCCCAATGTGCAGGAAATCAAGCAAAGGCAGGAGGTAGCTGCAAAGATGAGCAAGGAGGCCCTGACAAAGCTCAAATATAAAAAGGAAGCATACGATAGGTAGAAGCAAGGACAGGTGAACTGCAAGGGATATAGAGATACTATCCAAGCATGTAGGGATAGGGATAGGAAAGCCGACACCTATCTGGAGTTAAATCTGGTAAAGAACTGTGGAGAGCACCAAGAATATCTACAAGTATATCAGCTGCAAAAGAAAGAAAAAGGAAAATGTGGGCCTGCTGCTGAATGGGGTAGGGGACCTGGCAAGAAGGGATATGGTGAAAGCTGAGGTACCTGTGTTTTACTGGCAAGGTCATCTTCAGGAACCCCATGCTCCTGAAATCTGTGAGAAAGCCTGGAGCAAAAGGAAAAAGATCAAATTAAGGAAAACAAAACAAAAAGCAAACAAACCAACAAAAGGACATATTAAAGTCCACAGGCCCTCATGGGAGGCATCCATGCCTCCTAAGAGTGCTCGCTGATGTTATTGAGGCCACTCTCGATTATCTGTGAAAGGTTATGGTGATCAGGAGAGGCTCCTGAACAGTCAAAAAGAGTGAATGTCATTCCTGTCTTCAAGAAGGGCAAGTAGGAGGACACAGGGAACTATAGGCTGATCAGTCTCATCTCTGTTCCCTGGAGCATGATGAAGCAAGTATTCCTGGAAAGAATCTCCAAATAATTGAAGAACAAGGCGACTGGGAGCAGCCGGCATGGAGTCTGTAATTACATAGTCCTGTAATACAGCCCAACCATTGCTAGCAATGGGCCATAAGCTTTGTACTGAGTTTGCAAGGCCTCAGGATAGAGAGTCTTCAGGCTTGGTCTATCCAAACTTCTTCTGACCTTTCTGAGGCTTTATTTAATTTGGTTTATCTGTGACAGCAGTTTTGCTGACTGACCAGGGGCTTAGGCAGGAGAGTTGTACTAGATGATCTCCAGAGGTTCTTGCCAACCTCCACCACTCCATGAAAATAAAACCTGAAGAAATTAATCCAGAATTTGCCTCCTATTTAAGAAATGCATAGTGCAATTTTTAAGTTGACTTCTTAATAAAATTTCAAACCGCAATTTCCTCTTTATTCTGACCCTCTCTTGTTTTGACTCAAGTGACTAATTATAGCTCATGAAGAAATGAACAGAAAAGAGCTGATGCAAAGTGTTTGGGAGGAGTTTACAGATATAGAATGTTTTATTCAAAATCTTAGGTAAAATACTGGGTTAGATTAACTGAAATTTTAAGAAAGACAGAAAACTAGCAAAAAAAGAATTTGTAGTATTGCTTTCATTCACTGCTTCTTTGAAGAGTAATTAATCAAATTCATTTGTGTTAATCCTTGGAAATGTAATGAAGCATATGAAAATTAATACACATTTTCAATCCAAGATGTCTTTTGCAGCCATTGTAACTTATGCTGCTTCTTAGTTTCTTCTTACAAATACATCAGCAAAGACCTGTTTCTTCGATAGGTCTATTGATTTTTTAAAATCAGGAGTAGATCAAAACTGGTATCAATGTGATCAAACATTACTTCTGTCCTTATTATTAATCACTAGCTTTTTCTTTTTTTTTTTTGTTTTTAACCTGCTTTTACAAGAAAACTTTGAACTTACAGTGGAAATTATTTGTTTGTTCTTGATTTGTAGGTTTTGTTTGTTTCTTTGTTTCTTTTTTCAGCTGGAGCACATTTTACAACCTGTCATCCAGACCAATAATGCTTTTATTTTCATAGTTTATATAAGATTGCCCATTAAAATATTATGCTTAACATCCAGTCAAATTTGTTATTTACTTTGGGTTTTGCTTTCCGTTATGTTTTCCTGTCAGGTCTGGATGTATTATTGTCCCTGCTAGTTGAATACTCTAGAATGTCATTTTTTGCTTAGTTCAGTCAATAACTGATCAATTCACTATTGCAAAGTCCAAATGTATGTTGGACTTATATTCCTGGCTGGTTCTGCCAAAACAATCACATCATCAATACAGACATTATTCTACTTAACTCCCACCAGTGAAATATTCTGGAGGAAATTTATCTTGGAGGAAGTTTCTGAAAATGAAACACCACCAAAAGTCATCTTATGATAAAAATTTTAGTTCTTTGCCTGTGAAGCTGCCAGGCATCATGTGATGCTCCCAGTTTTGAAAACAGTTCCAATTATTTACTCCCCACTTGGTAATAGTTGATCCAGTTGTCTCTGATGGACTGGCAGGATCTCTGAATGCCTTGAGGACATTCTATTTAAGGAATTCACGTGGACACTCATGTGCATGCGTGCAGCATGTTCTTCTCTTGGGTGGGGGTGATTTAAGACACACAAAATGAACTGTTGGTCTTCGAGACAGCAGCATTCACCTGAAGTATGGAGAACAAGAAAAACTTGTTGAACAAGGGAAGGCCACAATGATTAGTATTCATTTGGGCAGCAACTGTCGGAATGCATGAGCAAAACTTCCAGTTTTGCATTTTAACACCCATGAAAATGTCAGCATATAGTTGCTTTTAACTACATTCTAAGCCAAACGTAACTTTTTATAGTCTAAAAGCTTAGGGCCTCAAAAACCCACAAAAAACTCCCACACAGGCATCATCCAAATTTGAAGACTTTGACAGAAAAAGAAAATGAAGTGACAAGTGCTCCTCAGCTCTGATTTTAATTTCTTTCCTCTACTTAGTTTTCCTGATCTTTTTTCTTTCTTCCTAACTCACAGCTTCTTTTCTGTCTTCTGTACTGACGTGCCATTGCAATGTAAAAATCAGAAAGGTACTGTTTTGTAATGTGCACTGTCCTTGGTTTTTAAAATTCCCTTTACCCATACATTTGTTTTGATGACTTGTGTCTCTGTTTTCATGTTCGCACAAAAGCAGCAAACTTAATTTAAAAAATCAAAACAGCAGCAGCTGTACTTTGTTCAGCTTTCCCTTTTTTTTGTTTGGTCATCAGCTTAGACATACAGCCATTTCTATCTCTTGATCTGTTGTTTGTTTTTCTGAGCAGGACAGTGTCACCAACTATAACTGATGCAAGATTCTTTCTCTTCATAACTCTCTCTGACATCACTGTAGTTTACTGTGCTGCCTTCTATATCTGTTTTATGACACACATCTAGGTTTTCTTTCATGTGTACAATTTCAGCTCTAAAGACACATTAAGACAGGTTTTTTCTCCATTACATTTTCCTACTTTATATCGATTTTTTTTAGGATTCACATTCATTGTATTTCCATGTACTTCTGAAAACTTCCACATTCTGTTGCTTTTCTGAAGCTGTCTCCTAATTCCACATTGCCAATTCAGTTATTGTCTCACAGCTTATGATGTGCTTTTTATGTCTCTTCATTAGCTAGACAGATCTTGTTACTTTTTTAATTTTTAAGAGTTAGCTGCTGTGGCAAGTGAGTTTCCAAACCTCTTTCCTGTGGGTGCCCTGGGAACACTTGATCTCATATCAAAGGGACTCTTATGATTCCCTGACTTCAGAACTGATCTTTTAATATCACTGCTGTGGCATGTTTCAAAGGCTCCTTTGAGCTGCTGCATTGAGAAATAGGACCCATAGCATTCCGATATTTCTATTTTAATACAGGTCACCAAATACAGCAGGCATCAAAATTGTCTGAATTGAGTCTTTTACCAAATTAAGTAATGATATATTTCAACTCTTTGAATGCTTGTCATAGCTCAGGCAATTTTAATTCCCAAAATGTTGTTTGCTACAGTGGCTTTAAAATGCAGTAATACCAGCTTGAATGCTTGCCAGCTACCAACCTGGAGGGTCTGTTATTTCTGGGGCCTTGTCTTGCATTACTTTTCTCCTCACATTTTTCTGTCAGCTGGATTTTCACAACTGTTCCTTACAGACTCTTGACAAAGTACAAGTAGTCATCAGCTGTAAGAAGCATCTCTTGCACATCACTTCTACAGAAAATAGATTCTTTTCACCTGTTTGAAGATGATTTGGCGTGAAGTTACATAAACATGGTCCAAATGTAAAAAAAAAGAAACCAGAATACCAAGAAGACAAAGGGTCTGTCAAACATCTACACATTTTTTATGCTCATCTATCTTTCTGACACTGAGCTAGACAGCTTCTCAGATTCTTTTGTGTCAGTGTTTGCTAAGCAGTGAATGGCTAAGCAGTGAATGGCACTTCAGTGTTCATTTCTACGTCAGATTTGCTGACTCAGCATCGCACAAGTCTATGGCCACATTACAGTGCTGCCAAGCTTCCTGCTAGAAGACTCTTCTCCCTTCTATACTATCAACTATAAGTTCAGGCTGTGTTTTCCCCTTAATTATTAATATTTTACCTTTTACAAGGTGGACTATTTTGACAAAAAGACATTGTGTCCTCAGTTTAGGATTTTTTATTTCTTTTTTCAGATAAAGGG